TTCGAGAGAAAATAAAAATAATTAAGGAAATAAATAAATAATAAAAATAATTAAAGAAATAAGCAAAAGAATGGAAACGGAAAAAATAATATTTATTTTTTTGAAATTTTCGGCAGCATTTCCCTACCCCCCACGGGGTCAAGAATGCGCCAAGGGAAAAGGAGAGACCAAGGTGAGCACACTAGAGATGCCGCAAATAATATAAAAAAAATTCAGAAAATAAATAAAGAAATAATAAATAAATAAGTAAATAAGTGTGTAACGAGGTGGAGAGAAATGGGTTATCTGATTTTTCAAAAATTTTGGCAGCATTTCRTTACCCCCATGGGGTCGAAGTGTGCCGAAAAGACTAACTAAGAGAAAATCAGAAAATTTCGGCAGCACTTCGTTATCCCCACGGGGTCAAAACGTGTGCCAAAAGCAAGAAAGGCTAACACCTAATCAGATTGAGGGTTGCCGCCAAGAAATTCGAATTTTCAGAATAAATAAAAATAAATAAAATAAATCAGAAAATAAGAAAAGAGGGTGGGGTTTTTTCTCCCGCTTCCCCCTCCCTATGCTTGCTCTTTTACTTTCTTGATTAGGTCACCGGTACCCTACCCTAACCACTTAAACCTCGGTTAGGGTTTTCTAAGGGTTTTGTAGGGTTTAGGATTCTTCAAACCCCCCCCCTACTTCCCCGTCCTCTTCGGGCACCCTGGAACCGAACCACCCCTCCCCCTTTGACGACGTCCGCGCTAGCCTTGCTAGCGCCGTTCGCCGCTTTCTACCGCGAACTTCCCCCTACGCCCTCCGCTCACGCGGACCTCTTCTGGCCCCCTCCAGTCCGGTTCGTCATCTCCCCATGGCTGACGGTGCGTCACACGCCGTCGACACGGCGATGACCATGGCATCGGGCTCCACACCCGTGCCGGCGGACCAGGGCCATCAGCCCCAGGGGGATCTGCACACCCTCCTCACCTCCTTCCTGGCGCCCATCCAGGCGCAACTCGCGACCCTTGCGCCCTTACAGGCGCAGGTGGCGACCCTTGCCGCCGGCGTGCGGCAACTCCAGGACGCTGGTCGTCCTTCCTCTCCTCACCCTACCTCTTCTCCTGGCTCCCAGTCCGGGTCCCCCGCCTTCCGACAGGGTGGCCACGGTGGAGCTTCCTCCTCCGCTGCCCCCGACCCGGCCATCTTGGTGACCGTCCACGCACCTAGCAAAACGACCACCACGAGTCAGGCCCTCCCTCAGTCCACGGGTGCACCCGCCCAGATTCCGGTCACGACGGCCACGGGACCACAACCCGCTACCGTGGTCTCAGCTTTTCCGGGTGCCCCACTTCTCCCCCCTCTTCGCACGACCACAACGTCATCTGGCTCTTCCCCTTGTGGGATGCCTCGCGCCGCTCATGCGTCTCCCTCTGCCACACCTCGCTCGACCTACATTCGAAGTCTCGAGGACGAGATCGCCCGGCTCCGGACCGACCTCGCCCTCTCACGCCTTCAGGCACCCCCACCCTCACAGGTGGCCGCGCCTTCCGGTGCACCCCCTTCTTCCTCTATTCTTCCTTCCATGCAAGCTCGCTTCCCTCGCCCTGCACCCTACCAATCTCCATCCTACCTCCTCCCCATCCCCTCGGTCGCCGCGACCTCTTCTACCGCAACTCCCGTGCAGCCTGCCGCTGCTTCCCCCGCCGCTCCTGGGCGTACAGTCAGCTGCACCTCCTCCTCCTCCAGGACCTGCGCCGACTTATTCCGCCGTAGCGCAGTCCCCTGCTTCCCGTTCCCCTCGCTGCCAAAACGGTGGCACACCACTCATCTGCTTGTCGGACATTCCCTTGTATGACGGTACAGGCATACGTGTGTCTAGGTGGCTGCAGGCTGCCACCCGCACGCTCCAGCTCATAGGCGCCACACCCGACATATGGGTGGGTCACCTCTCCACGCGCCTGCGTGGTGCTCCTTTCGACGCTTGGGAGGATTTCTATGCTTACTCCCTGCGTGAGGGTCGGACTCCGACCTTCATGGATTTCCAGGCGTTCCTCGAGGATCGCTTCGGAACCCGATATGACGTGACTGACGCCTTCGAGCGTGTCGTCACTACACGTTGGTCCGGCTCTGGTGGCGCTGCGGGCCTGGATCGCCACATCCAGGTCTTTCAGGACGCCCGCCTCGTTTGTGACGTGGTGTTCCTTCCCGAGGCTTCCCTTATCGATCGTTTCTTGGCCAGCCTCCCGCTCGAGCACCGCTCCGAGCTATGGCGGTAAGAGTTCACATCGGCCCCACAAGCTTACGAGGCCGCCAGGGACCATCGGCGGATGCGAGCCCGTCTTCACCCCGCCTCCTCCTCCCAGCCCCAGCGTCGGGCTACGCCTCCTCCTCCTCTCACGGCACTTCCCAGCGCCGTTCCCCTTTCCGCGGTCGCCCCTGCCGTTCCACGCAGCAAGGTCGCCACTTCTCGCGCCGCTTCAGCGCGTTGGAGTATGGTGAGCATGACGCTGTTGCCCCACTGTCACCTGAGGGCGACCACAGCGACGACCTCGATCTCTGTGAGGCCGTCCACTATCACTTGGAGGACTCTACCCTCCCTGCAGCTGAGCGCCTTCAGCTCGCGCTCTCCGCCCTCTCTCGGGCACGCAGCCGCCCTGGTCACGCTGGCACGTCCCCCCCCGAGGTCCCTCAGGAGGACCTCCCTCAGGGCTTCGTCCCTCCTCGTGGTGTCCTTTCCCCTAAGGAGTGCGCGGCCATTCTGGGTCGGCGTGGGTGTTTGCGCTGCCGCTTGGACGGTCATACCTCCTCGCGGTGCCCTTACACTACCGCCCTCGACCGCCACTACGCTGACCTTTCTCGTCAGCGTCGTGCTTAGTCCCCCCGTGGCGCCTCACGTCCCCGCGGCGCCTCCTAGCCACGGTGCAGTGTACACCTGCGCCCTCCTCAGTAGTGGGCTTCCCGACATCTCCGTCGTGGTTCGCCCCTCTCGCTACTGGGGTTGAGGTATCGCATGACTCGACAGAGTGTACTCAGCCCTCTGTCGCAATACCGTCTGCGCCTCCGCAGACCACCGTCTCCCCTCCTTCCCCGCAGCGACTACCGACGCGTCGAGCCATTTGCTCAGCCCGTTGCAACGAGCAGCTCGCTACTCGCGAGGACGTTGTGTCCTCTCTTCTGGACTTGAGCATGCTCCAGGCTCGTAAGGAGCGACTCACCCTCCATGTCGCTGCACTGCGGCGCCTTCTCGCCATCCTCTCTGACCCTGATCGCACCCTCCTGATCATCCCAGTATGACTCGGGACCTCCACGAGGGTGTACTCCGCGCTGTGGGATTCCGGTTCTCAGGGTGACTTCATTCACCCACGCGTGGTGAAAGAAGCTCGCTTACCCACGACAGGGCCTCCAACTCCCATTTTCGTTACCCTAGGGGATGACAAGACCCAACGCTTCTTCGATCAGACGGTCACCAACCTCCCTTTCTTTCTCACTCTCGAGCCGACTGATCGTTCCCCGGCGTCTCGTCGCCACCGCTCCTTTGCCCATTTCGATGTAATGGAGACGGGGTACGACTTCATTCTTGGCACTCCGTGGTCTCGTCGGTTCCGTAGCACCGAGGCCGATTGGGCTACCAACACTCTCGTTGTCAAAACGAAGTGTGGACAAACGTATCGCGTACCTTTCATAGGTACCACTGCGACACCACACCCTGATCCTCTTCCCCCGGAGCCTTCCGTGCCCACACCATCTCCTTCCATCACTGTCACCTCGCCTTGGCAGTTCGCCCACTTCATCCGACAGGACGGCGTCACCTTCTTTATGGTGGACGTAAAGGATCTCTTACACTATGATCCACCCTGTCCCGACGCCGAGCTCATCCCTCTGGAGTCAGATCCTCCTTCTATCTCCATGGCTCCCATCTCTACTTCCGTCCCTCCGTCGTCCGTCGAGTCCACTCCGCCGTCGCGCGCTGACGTTGACGCTGAGGAGTTCGCACGATATACGGCTGACCTGGAGCCCGCAGTTCATGACCTCATCCGAGAGTACCACGACGTTTTCCCATCGTCGTTTTTGTACGCCGACATCCCACCGATGCGTGACGTCGCGCACTCCATTCAGCTTGTGTCTGACTATCGTGTTCACCACCAGGCACCCTACAGACTCTCGATCCCCGAGGCCACCGAACTCGAGCGTCAGCTTGAGGAGCTCCTGAGACAGGGTTTCATTAAACCCAGCAACTCCCCGTGGGGTGCACCTCTCCTCTTTGCTCGCAAAGCGGAAGGAACTCTTCGTCTCTGCATCGACTACCGTGGTCTCAACCGCTACACGGTTAAGAACAGCTACCCCATGCCTCGTTCTGATGAGTTGTTCGACCGCCTAGCAGGCAACTGCTTCTTTACGAAGATCGGTCTTCGTAGCGGTTACCATCAGATCCGCGTCGCTGCAGCCGACCAGCCGAAGACCGCGTTCCGATCGCGATTCGRCCACTACRAGTTCACGGTGATGCCATTCGGCCTCACCAACGCACCCGCTACCTTCCAGAGGGCGATGAACGACATCTTCAGGGACATCCTGGAGCAGAACGTTCTCGTCTACCTCGATGATATCCTGGTCTATAGTCGCACCCTTCAGGAGCACCTCAGACACCTCCGCGACGTCCTTGACCGCTTGCGCAGACATGGCTTCTATGCCAAGCTGAGCAAGTGCCGCTTTGCCCAGCACAAAGTGGATTTCTTAGGACACTACGTGTCTGATCAGGGTCTCCACATGGACAACGCGAAGATCACTGCTATTGCGGAGTGGCCCGCCCCCACATCCACCAAGCAGCTTCGCAGCTTCCTAGGCCTGACCAGCTAC